CCTGGCAGCCATGCTAATACACTGGTGCTGCCTGATAGGAGGAGAACTTCTGAAGAGGTAAGGCATATTGTAGAGCTTTAGTCAAGTTTATATATATATATATATATATATATATACTTTTTTAGACTATAAGAATTACATTATTTGAATTGCGATGTAAGTAAGCCATAATCAGGACTTTTTTTAAGCAGTTATAAACAGTGAAACACTTAAACTTTTCAAATTCCTCTCATTTTGTTACAAACAGAACAGCCATGAAACCTTGTCATTTCTGATAATGTTGGATTAATGGCCTCATTCATCCAACAAACCAGCATTCAATGTTTTCAGGACACTGGAATGCTGGGCATGCAGGCTAATATACAAAAGAATATGGATATTAGGAAAAACTAATTTTTGTAGTTATTAGAAACTGTCTGCAGAGCTTGTTTGCTCCATTTGGGCGTGTCATTTGGTTTTAACTCATGAATTATAGTTATGCAAGCTTTTTGAAACCATTGTATCAACGAAGTATTGTAATTTAATATGATATATTATACGAGCAATTTCAGGTTGAACAATACCTGGTAATTAAACCTAACCACAGTTCTCTTTGCAGAACTCATTAGTTCAATGCAAACTTAACATAAAATCTAGAATAATTTGAAGCAAAAGACGACAAGGTTATATATTTCTTGACCACATTCCCCTGGCAGTTATGATTATGTGTTTTTTTTTTACGTACAGCAAAAATTATGATTTTTTTATCTAAAGGCAAGGGTTCAAGTTTATAATAAAACTGGACATGGATGTGTGGATGTGTGTGCTTGGGTATGGATTGCTTAATTTTTTTCAACACAACTTGACATGGGACAATGCCTACAAAATTCGGCTAAATAACAGAAATCTTGTGATTGTGATATTGGCGGGCCACATATCTGGTTACAGAACAGCTATAGAGTGTTCAGTTTGTTGGAGAAATTATAGCAGAAAACAATGTTTACCTCTGCTGTGTGCAATAAAACAAGCATAGTTATTTATCTACTAACACTTGTGGTTTGAGTAATGTGGGCTTCTGAGAAATTTCAGGATCCTCTTTTAAAACCTACTGCCCCTTCAAGACGGGTCAAAACCATATTATATGTCACAAAGCGCAGACGTCTTTCTGCAGTGAGATGCAGTGTCGCGTGGTGTCAGTGTAATGTAAAAAGTCACCCATACCACAGCTCGTCTTCGTTCCTTTTGTATCTGCCGTTTCATTTCCCACCCTAAAACCTGCATTTGCGTGTCGGTACTTCTGCGGTTGAAACGGTCATTTTGTTCCGGTTTTATAAGAGCATTACAACCTCCACAGTGTGTTGGATTCAGACTTTGGTGGCTTTCAGTCTGGA